ATAAATAAATAATGTTTGGATACCATTAGATTTTTTACAATTTGTCCGGTGTATACTTAACAGTTGGTGGATGCTTCGACTTTGAAAAAAGAAGTTGCAGAGGGTGTGGACTTGATGGTAGTAAGGGAACTTACCGGAGGTTAGTGTCATCTATAGTCTCGTTTGCCGCTTTATATCTTCAAGTTTTGTAATATTATCCGTTGTTATATATGAAGAAGTGTTCTTATTCATGTAAATTTCTTGCTCTAAGGAATATATTTTGGCAAGCCAAGAGGTTTTGGCAAAAATGAAAATGGTGAAGAAACTGGATTCAACACTGAGATTTATGCAGCTCACGAGGTAGTACTTGACTCATTTCTTAACTATATTACGTGAACCAGTAATTGGTGTTGCTGTAAATTTCCGATTTTTCCTTATCTCCTGAAGAAAGTTTTTCATTTGTCTGACTTGGTAATTTACAATTTTTCTACCTATCCTTAACGAGCATTTTAAAATATATTGAGATTAACACATTTCTGAGTCATGGTCATTTCAAAGTTTTTAATTACTGTAACTAAGAAATCTAATATGTCTAATGAATTTTACACTTTCTCAGTTTCACATCTGACACAAAAATACAATTTTTCTTGATGTGATATTTCTTTCTCAGATCGATCGGATAGCGCGGGTCGCATTTGAAACTGCTCGAAAACGTAATGGGAAACTTTGTTCTGTTGACAAAGCTAATGTTTTGGAGGTAATTTGTCATTTTTACTTCGTTCCCTAAGAGGCCATAGAATGGTGGGATCAAAGGACGAGTATACCGATATACGTTTTAATCAATTTATATTTTATAAGCTTCGTCAATTGATTCTAAATGGATTATAGTATCATCTATTTGACAGAGCATGTAAAGATATCTCCACTCATTTGTTAATACTCATAGAGGATCTACCAGCTGCAACTTATCTCCATTGTTAATTTGTTTGTCGATGATAAATAAAAACTTCTTGTGGTGAATTTTATGCGCGGCATTTCAAAATTCAGAAATTTTCTATCTTGTATTTCAGATTAGCTGGGTATAAACACAACTTTACGTGTTTACCTAAATAATCATTCTTCTGCTAATAATTATTCAAAAAGCTGACAGAATTTCACGGCTAATTTATCTTGTCGAATTTGTTCATCACATTCAACGTGCTCGGGTTTTTTATTGAAATTAAATGATACAAGTTTGCCAGGCTTCCATGCTATGGAGAAAGAGAGTTACGGATATGGCCTCAGAATACCCTGACGTTGAACTCTCTCACATGTATGTCGACAATGCGGCCATGCAGCTTGTTCGAAACCCGAAACAGGTTTTCAGTTTGTGGTGTTCTATTTCTTTAAAAATTCCGGAAGAAATGAAATAATCTTATATACTAATACTACCATTTTTATTGCAGTTTGATACTATTGTTACAAACAATATATTCGGCGATATTCTTTCTGATGAGGCTTCAATGATAACTGGGAGTATAGGAATGCTTCCTTCTGCCAGTCTTGGTGCATCAGTAAGAGAAAATCACTCTCCTCTAGTAACTAATTCTGATAGTATTTTTTTTTTTTTTTTGGCTATAAATGTCTGTGAACTTGTTTTTGAAGGGACCTGGATTATTCGAACCAATACATGGTTCTGCTCCTGATATTGCTGGGCAGGTTGGTAAAAGGGCTGCTATCATTTTTAATTTGGATGGACTTTTGTATTTTTGAAAAAGACTAATTTGGATGTATTTTTGTAATTTGCATCAAATCTGTGACATTCAGGACAAGGCGAATCCTTTGGCAACAATACTAAGTGCAGCCATGCTATTGAAGTATGGGCTGGGTGAGGTGAAGGCAGCAGAAAGAATCGAGGCTGCTGTGTTGGATACTTTGGATAGAGGATTTCGAACGGGTGATATTCACTCAGCTGGACTGGTGAGGCTTCGTTGATTTGATTTGATGGATAATTACATAACTGCCCCTGAAATTCACTCTAGTTGAAATGAAGTTCTACTTAAATCTGTTATTTTTTTCTTTTGAAAGATGACTGGATTTTCTTGTTTTCCTTTTTTTTCTTTTTCTTTTTGTATTTAGGCGAAATAATAAGCATAGAGTTTGTGGTTATTCAGCACCTGGAAAATGCATGATATTTTTCTTTTGAAAAGAAAAATTGATTTTATGCAATCCAAATTTGCAAACTTAAAAGTCATAATGATGAGAGTTTACATTATTGTTTTGTTCAGAAATTAGTCGGGTGCAAGGAGATGGGCGAACAAGTGTTGAAGTCGATAGACAGTAAAGTTGCTGCCGGTGTTTGAAAATCTCGTCCAGTAAGGGAATACTTGTTTTTTTTTTTTTCTTTCTTTTTCTTTTTTGTTCTTCTTTTCGTTTTCGGGTGTGCTTTGTTCAGAATCTTACATGTTAGTTGTTACTACTAAAGTACTTGATAAAACATTATTCAGCTCAAGCAGAAAGAATGACAAAAATAATGGGGCCTTTTCGCAAATTGTTATAGGAGATTTGATTGGATTATTCAGCAGTCAATGTTGTATTTCATATATGTAACAGCCTTTTTATCAAGTGTTCAATTGGAACTGAAAATGCCAGAAATGTTGTTGTCTTAATTGATGAACTTTTGGCAATTGGCTGGCTAAGCATTCATATTCAGAATCCTGGTAGACTTGCAAGCAATTATTATTTTTTATTTATATTATCTTGGCATAAAAAAAATATTTAACATAGTTACAGTATTAGGTACTATTGTCAAATTATTTGTTAAAGTCATGAAAGCGAGCACGAGTATTATCAAGCTAACGAACTCGTTAAGAACATGAGAAGAGCACAAAGAATTCAATCTTTATTAATCAAACCTGTAAAATCTTTTAACAAGCCGAGTTCTACCACAAATTTGAAATTTTTAAGAAAGTCAATTTAAATTCCAACAGATTGGTGAAATTAATGTGATTGTATATGTGAGATGAATATGACATTAGTATAGTAAATTGTGTGGTAATAATTATTTTTATTCTTATTATAAAATTTATATTCATAAAATTGAGAAGTGAAATAATTGAGATTGGTGATTAATAAACTTCTTTTAAAAAAAATAACTCCACTAGATTTTGTGACAATAATTAAGGTGAACG